GTACATAAATGTGGCCATGCCCACTATCTGTCTGGTACTACTGGTGACTGCATCAGGGTGAAGCCCCACACTGTTGATTTTTCTGTTTCATGTGACACAAAGCCTGGGACTTCCCAGAAGAGATGATTTTCAGTGCTACTGACCTGAACTGTGGAGTGATTCCATGTGATGCTTTCCCTGGAAGCGCTACTTCTTGCCCTGGCCTGGGTTTCTGGCCACTTAATCAAAAGATGATATGAGATTGTTTTTGACCTGAGTCCCCCAATATTAGGCTTTCCCAGGAGTGGGAATTGTTAACAACCGTTGATACAAAGTGATACTCCAAGTAATGCTCTTAATAATTTAAATTGTTTTTTGACTGATTATAATTAGTTTTTAATTCATAAAAGGAAGCATTTATACCAGGAATAAGAGCTAGTCTTAGGAAAAGGAGAAGGGCTAGTCATTTTCTTGTATAATGAGCATTATATTTCATCTGGCTCTTCTTTTTAATTTTTTTAAGCTACTTGTCTATTTTGTAAAGGTTGCTTAGTTAAATCTAGGTCACGAATCCACAATTCATTTAATTGGAGACCCATGAAGACTGCTACCCACCTGTGAAAGACCACTGTCCTAGAGTATGCCCTAAAGTCTTTTGTTTCTGTTTTTGTTTTCTGGAAAAGCAGATTAATGATGCAATTTTGAATGTTTCCATACCTGAGAATTTATTTGTTGGCTTCATATATATAATATATAAGAATTCCACTAAAAACCTTAAATTATACTGTATTATTCTGAAAAAACTGGTATTGCTAAATTTTTTCTAGTATTTTGTATGGTAGAAGTCTATGGACATCTTGGATTTTTATTACTTTGTAAGTAGCATGTTTCATTTTCTCAAGTTCTTTTCTTTTGTTCTTTGAAATAAAAAATTACAATTGTATGTGTTGAGTATTTTCATCTCTTCTAGTTTTATTTTGATCACTTTTATTTGATTATTTATTAAATTCCTTTATAAAAGTTTTTCTTCAGTCTAGGAAAACATTTGATTACAGCTGCTTTTATTTATCCTTATGGAAGCCCTGTTTATAGAATCATCTGGATCTTCTTTTATTTTTTATTTATATTTATTTAGTCTTATATTTTCATCATTTTTTTTACATTTTCTCCTTTCCTCTTAAGTTTTGAGAATTGAGATGGGTCCTATTAAAGATTCATGTAGAACCTTTGAACTCCAAAGGAAGGGAAAATTTTTTTTTAAAGTTTAAATATGCCCTGAGTTTACTTTGCCAGTTAAGAGTCCAAGCAGCCTAGAGGGTAGTTGGTCCCCTGGAGGTGAGAGTCAAAATTGGAGGCAGACTTAGCCAGGAATGTGTTTTGCTAAAGAGCTTCCATTCCTTATTTGGAACAGCTCCCAGGGTTCGCTGATGCCATCTCCCCATTCTTTGGCAGGCTGCTAACCACTGTGTGTGAGCGACTGGTAAACCCTTTCATGCCAACTCCCTGGCTGTGTTGCCTCTGAAACCCAGAAGACTTTCTAGTGCTTCTAATGGGAGCCACAGGGCCGACCCTCACCTTCAGGCCTACAGAGGCCTCTGCTGATTTCCTTTGCAGTCGGGTGGCGACTAGCTGCTGTCTGATTTCCTCTGTATTTTATGTCACTGAAACTCCTGGAAATTTCTTTTGCATGGCTGATCCTCTTGCCCACTTTTTTTAAGGCTGACCCAGAGTTTTTCCTCATTCTTTATTGCTGATCATTTTCATGTTTATCTGTAGAACATTAGTTTACACCTTGCCAAGAAGTTGACCTATTTTCTCTTATGAATCCAAGTCTGAGGATATTTTGATGTCAGAAAGGTGGGAATAGCCTTGGGAAATGGAGACTTGGTAATAATCTTAAGTGTCCTGCTACAGTGTTTCTCATCTGGTTACCTGTGATCATCAAGGTCACTGAATAACGAGGATAATTGCCTTTATAAAACAACAACCGGGAAATGGGGAGATATTGATCAATAAGTACAAACTTGCAGTTATAAGATAAATAAGTTCTGGAGGACTAATGTACAGCATGGTGATTATAGTTAGCAGGTTTTAGTTTCAAGTACTATATACTTGAAAGTTGCTAAAAGAGTAGTTCTTAAATCTCTTTACCATAGAAAAAGATGGAAATTTTATGTGGTGGTGGATGTGTTAACTAATCTTATTGCAGCAATCACTTTGCAATATAAACCTGTATCAAATCAAGCTGTGCACCTTAAATTTACATGTCATTATTTCAATTATATTCAGTAAAGTTGGAAAAAAACACATGGTTGATTTGACTATTTCAATATTAGTTTGATTTAATTTTTTTATCAACCTAAGAAATTTGGTGGTTGGATCTCCATTTTATAGCTGACATTCAGAGAAGGCAATCAGTTGCTGGGATTGCATAGCTAATGCATGGCAAAGCAGAACACAAACCCCTGGTTGTCCTCAAAGTTTCTCCTCTTTTCTTTGCTGGCTGTCAAGCAGCCTGAAGAGTTGTCCAATCTCCAAATCTCTGTGGTATTTACATGTTCCCAGTTACTGGACTTTGATCACCTGTTGGCATTTTATTGCTTTCATATATACTGAGTCCTTCTCTGTGGGGATAATGTTGCTATAAATAAGAGGAGAGCATGTCATATCATTTCTCATATACTGTCTGGAACTCTTGGCCAGCAGTGGAGAAGGTCTTGACCTCAGTACCTTATTCTATCAATCTATACTCTTTTTTTTTTTCTTACTAGGGTATTTATCTGCTCCTAGAGGAATTCTTCCTGTCCAGTAAAATAGTTGTCTTCATGTACTGCTTATGTAGCCTTCTTTGGTTATTTGGGGATTTAAATCTCCTTACCTGTGCAACACCTGTGGGCACGAGGCTGCCATTCTCTGTGGTCACTGCTGAACAAAATACCTTCAACACAGCAGCATCTCAAGTGGTGTTCCATGATGTTGCTGGTATGCTTTACTACATCCAATTAGAACAAAAAACAGTTAAGATCAGGGAAGAAGCAATATCATTGATAATTTAGGGAAATACTACAAAGATAAGAGGTAGCAAGAAAGTGCTTGGGGAATGGTCAGTGTCTGGTGGATGCAAACATTTTTGCTCTTGCTTCACGATGGCAAAAATGTTTGCATCATTTTATAACTTGCTCCTTTGAGAAATACTGGTCAGCTCCATCATTAGATTTGTATTTTCCTTTCAGATATATTGGAATAAATAAAAACATTCAGAGTCTGTAAAATATGTCACTACGATTGTAGGATCATTCTTTGTTTCCTCTATTCTAATTGAATGATGTATTTTTTCCCCTAGGTTACGGTCTTTGGTCAAACAATTAGAGAGAGGGGAGGCTTCTGTGGTAGATCTTAAGAAGAATTTGGAATATGCAGCCACAGTACTTGAATCTGTATACATTGATGAAACCAGGTAAGCTAAAAATAACAAGAAATTAGATCAGTGATGGTCAATTTTTTGTTGCGTGGCTTTTCTGAAATATCCCTATTACATGTATGGAGTTGCATTCTAATGACTAGTCTTGAAGCTTATACCTGTTTTTACTGGTTATTTTTACTACTACATGTAAAATATAAGTATAAAATATAATTTTAAGTTTTATTTTAGCTTATTACTATTTATGTTCTGTTCTACTACTTATGGTCTGACTTATGAACAAATTTAAAAAATTAACTAAGTACACCTGACAGGTCACTTAAATCACTTGCCCAAATAAGGACCTGTATTATTTTGGATATTTTGCTTGAATGTACACATTTAAGTTTCTGTAGTAGCTTATCAAACTAAAGAGAATATCAGTTGACATTATTTGGCTTCATTATTTCAGAGGACTGGGTTGATGTGATTTGAGTAATACTTTTCAAAGTATTTTTATGTTTTAAAATTTATTTTTATTGAGATAGAATTCATATATTACACTGTATAGGTTTAAGGTGTACATTATGTTGATTTGATACATTTATATATTGCAATATGATTACCACCAGAGTGTTAGCTAACACTTTTATCACATCACATAATAATCATTATTTTTTTGTGATGGGAACAGTTAAGATCTAGTCTCTTAGCAGCTTTGAAGTTTATAATACAGTTTATTTTTGTCTGTAGCAAAGTCTTTAAATGTCCATTTAAAAAAATGAAATAATGCCACATCCTCCCTCTATGAAATAAACCTCTTTGTGAATGCATTTTTAGATGGAAGGTTTGAGTGCATTCACATTCCACAAACCTTCTGGGGGTAGAGATTTTGGGTGCTCCTGAGGGCAGTGGGTTTGAGACCTACAGAGCCTGAGATAGAATATATCTGACTTTCCCTGACTCCTTACTTCCTTTGTCCAGTCTGGTAGTAAGCCATCCTGAAACATAAATAGTGGAAAAGACCATCCTGAACTGCACACGGTGCGCTCTCACAAGCCAAAAGGTGTATTTTTGTGGCCAGTTTAATTTGGTTTCTTTGCACCTGTGTATACAGGTGGGGTGAAGAGAAGGACTGGCTGTTTTGAATGAAGGCCTCCAACTTCAGATTTAATCTCAGAGTCCTGGTTGTGTTTCTTGTGTTCAGGCGACTCCTGGATACAGAGGATGAACTCAGTGACATTCAGTCAGATGCGGTGCCCTCTGAGGTCCGAGACTGGCTGGCCTCCACCTTCACGCGGCAGATGGGGATGATGCTCAGGAGGAGCGAGGAGAAGCCACGGTTCAAGAGCATTGTCCATGCAGTACAGGCTGGGATCTTTGTGGAGAGGTAAAAACAGTTGTCATTCGGTCACCAAAGCAGCAAAGGGAATATCAGTTTCCAATGTCTGGAAGCTTTGCTTTAATGTAGTCTTTGTATCTTTATAAATACTGAAAATTCTGGGGGGAAATAGGTAGTCCTAAGATTTGCACATAGCAAAAACCAATCTATTGTAATCTCTGTAGTATCATCAGGACAAACTTTTGCCTTTGCTAAGCAGAATAGTTTATTTTTACTTTAAACTAGGGAAGATTTAGTTTGAGTTCAGTCTCTAATATTTAAAGAAGGATATCATCTAGTCCATCATCCTTTGACATGTGTTGATGTCTGCATTTGGAACTGGCCAGGGATGCCTTGAGGCTGTTGACCCAGGCAGGACAGTTCATTTAAGGGTTTTGAGTTTCCCATGACACTTTCCAATTTTGTTAGCCATTTTGTTCTCTGAAATTGAATTGCACTCCTTCCCCAGAAATGGGTTCCAGAAATCAGTTCTTCACCCTACAATCCTGTTGCACAATTACAGGTTTTAGAAATGCCACGGTCAGTTCAAAGTTCTCCTGGGACATTTATCTTCTCGTTTTTGACAGTTCTGAAGAACAAGCTCTTCGAAGTGGGTTGCCCATAGGAGTTCTTCATTCAGGTTAAAGCACTACTTTGTATACTATGTGGTATTATAATTCACTTCTGGTAGAAGAGGTGACCATTCTAATAATTCAATTTCCACTTTGGGGCACATAGATAAATATTTTTGTTTGTTTCCAATGGTTCATGTGTTTGGGATTACTTTAATTTCTTTTGAATTTAACTCTTAGGCCACTTGAGCGACTGTGAAAAAAGTTTCAGAAGAAATTTTCGGTTCCTCGGGTGGACACACAGCATGACTTCTCATTATTTTTGTCAATATGTGGGATAAGTCTGTGGCCTGCTAATTCTTCTTTGTAAGATATAATATTGCATTTCTCTTTTCTATCTTTGGCAGAATGTATAGACGGACATCAAACATGGTCGGATTAAGTTACCCCCCAGCTGTTATTGAAGCACTAAAGGTAATACCAAGAAAAAGATCTTTGTACCTGGTACCCTCATGCACATGATACCCTATAAAATGTACAGTTCAATTTGTTATTAGAAAATAAGAAGTTCCAATCATTCCTGACTTTTTCTCATCATCTTTTACCTACCTGTTCTAACAGTATCACTCTCTTTTCATCCTTTGTCTTGCTATTTTTTAAAAATCAAACTCTATGTGGGTTTCATTTTCTGTTCTCTTGGTGTAGTTTAGTGATCCGTACAGTAACCTGGCATTAAGGGACTCAGTGTGACTTTGGCCATAGGAGATCAATTTGTTCTGGTTATAAACATTCAACTTCAGGAGGACCTTTGATGATCAAATTATACCATTATCTGATTACCACTTCTAAGTCCATTTTATAGATGGAGAAATTAAGACTCAGCAAGATTTTAAAAGGACATGTTTAGAGACAGAACTAAGGTTTAATACCATAGTTCCAGGCATATAGTAAGCTTCCAATAACATTTTACTGCATGGATGTATGCCCTCAGATCCCTTGCCCTCCCTATGTATCCTCCATGTTTTCCCAAGAGTCTCACTGAGCCCATAATTTCCACAGGAGGTCATGTGGATGTTTGAGTTTAAATGGGCTAAGACTGTAGAATTACTCCCAATCAGGAAAGCTCCTGGCATTGTACAGACACTCTTTAAGAGCGTCAAAGTGGATGCATTCCTCTAAGTGTATGTTGATTCAGATCCACTGGTCTAAGGGTGTCCCAGCTGTGCCAAATTTGATTTGGCTTCTGGATGTGAAGGTGAGGCTGTGCTGAAGCCTGTGATCCCTGGGCTGCTTGATATTGCATTGTACCTATACATGGAGATGTGTCCACTGCTCAGAATGGGTCAGCATTCTGATTGCTGTTAAAGTTATTGTTGTCTTTCTCTGAAACCTGAAAAATTTTTGGTTCCTTGATGATACTTTTAGAAGATAAATTACCTGTTTATAGAATTGGGGGTGGGAGTGCTTTTGATCAATGTAATGTCAAGAAAGAGCCCTTTAGGGCCATTTGTATTATATATCTCATAGTCCCTTTCTCATGTCTCGGAGACATTCACTAGCTGAATTTATGTGACCCTATATGTTCAGATTTTCAGCTCTTCATTTTCTGTTTCCTCTTAAGTCATTGTAAGATCAAGAAAGATGCTCAAGAAGGAGATAGCAAGAAGACACATGTTCATTCTCACTCTCTTCACCCCCCTACTCTACAGCCCAACATTATTGGTGCAATTTACAGCAACATTTCCCATTTAATCAGTGAAATTACTTCATGAGATCTGATGTTTCATAACACCCGCTATGAAGACACATTGATTTTCATAATTGAACCTGAAACCTTCAGCAAAAGGCTTAAAGAACACTAAAAGCATCTTTTATCTTTAATTTATTCTTTTATTGTGAACATAAATACAGGTGGTTATACAGATACTTAAACATTTATGAAAATAGTACTTATAATTTGGAGCATCTTTTCTATGCAGAATAACTGAAGAAAATGTGGAACAACCTATGTGCGTGAATTGTTATTTTATGCTTAGGGAAAAGTAATTCCTAAATGCACACCTGTTGTCTTTCTGAGGGGGAAGTTACCTAGATAATTCAGATAAAGAATAAGTACTAATTTGAATTGCTGCCCTTCACTGCAAGTATTGCTGATAGGTACATAAGACTGAAGCTGCTATTTCTCTTGGTCCTGTCCCCTTTTTACTGTGGAAGTTTAAGACAATGTAATATCTCAGTGCCTCCCTAGACTCTGGTTTTATCTGTAGTGGACTGGAGGTGATTTGGAGAGATCACATAGATAGATTCTTTTTTTTCCCTTTTTTAAACTGTAGTGTCTATTAGAAGAAAGGTCATTTTCACTTCACTGCCTGTATTTTATATGGAATCACTATTGTTTTCTTCTACTACAGAAAATTTCCCCAAAGAGTGAGGAATGTAATTCAGTAAAATGACCACCATACTACCGTCATATTATCCTTTGTGATTAATGTAAGGACGTGGCATTAAAAAAAGAGAGAGAGAGAATAATCTTGACTTCCGACTTTGATAATTTCTATCTCCACTGTGATAGCCTTTTTCTTTCTTATTCATTCTGGAAAATAGGATTAAAAATTGTGAGATGTGACAAAGTGTTTTCTCACCTACTGAGTTGTCAGTAGACTTTTCCTTGGGACTAATGGTCAGAAAATGGATGTCATTTTAATGCTGATTATAGTAACCAAGGTGAAGCTTTAGATCTTGGGTTAATCTTAGGGCCCCACAGTTGATGGCCTGTGCCCTACTGGGATATTGAGAGCATGAGGCCTGGGTCACAGCAGATACTCATTGAGTTTACAATGTCATCCGTCAGCAGTGATATCCCTGGAGGGTCATTGGTGTTATTATCTGGTTCTGCTACTGCATGCCATTAGACACTTAATTTCATCTCTCTGAAATTGCCATCTCTATGATTGGGGAAAGTAACACCTATTTTAGCATTGTGAAGGTTTGCCATGTATATAAACATTTGCACTGGGCCTGGCACAGAAAAAATGCTTAACATGTATAGCTATTTCTTTAGTTATCATAATAAAGGAGAAATTATTGGTGGCTGAAGTGAGGTTACCACTAGGTATGAATTGAAACAATTCAACTGGAAAATCTGTTGTAAAAGTTTGACTTTTCCCTGTATACAGTTCAGTTTTCTGGTGCTTTGGCATCCATGAGAGAGCCCCTTGATAGCCCTGGCATGATGTTGTTGGCCGGGAGGTTTGGAGAGACATAGGATTGGGGGAACAGATGGTGTAGCAATGCACTAAGGGCTGAGGGGCGAGCCACCCCAAGCCAGCATTTTCTGACAGTCACTGTCTCCCAGGGAACCGCCTGACACCGTGCCTGGCCTCAGTGTCGTCTCCCAGGAGTACTTACCACACTCAGGGCAGTTCGCTTCCTTAAAGTACTGACTTCACACAGTGAGAAACCAAATGACTGTTACTTTATTGCTTTAAACCTTTGCTTACTGTATCCACAAGTAGCTGGCTTAAAGCAAAGACGCATCAGAGAATGTTTACATATATTTTGGAGTAGCTATTCATAGACAAATAAGGCTTTGAACTTCAAGAATGGGGTGTGATGAGTGTGTTCAGCTTTGCTCTTGGTTTTAGTTTTTTGGTAAAGTGACTTACAGATTTGAGAACTAGGTCTTCAGAGTGGGAGTATTTTTCTGTCCTGTGAAGGCTTTCTCCTTGGTTTCAGGTTAGCATTTTGGACCGAAGTGACACATTATTTTGTGTTCTATGTCATGCATGTTTCTGAGCACTTTTAAGTGGGTTAACATCTTCAACGCTGGATTAGTAAGAAGTCAGTAGATAGTGTCAAGGGACTGGGGAGAAGTTTAGAGTAGGAAAGCACCTAGGTTGTCATGAAATGAATTAAAAATTAGAAATTGAGTGGTGCTAGTGGAAGTGCTTAATGAAAAGAGCTGGAGCTTCAGCATCAGTGCAACTTTTACTTGTGTCCTGGCCCAACTTGTGTCCCTAGCGCTTACACAGAGTGGGTCCTGGGGAAATGAAGTAACTTCGCAGTTTTCTCATGTGTAAAATGTGACTAATAATATTTACCATTTAGAGTTGTTTTCAGGATAAATTGTATATTTATTATGGATCACAATGCCTAGCATATGGTGGGTGCTCAATAAATTATAGCTGTTATTAGTAATAAGACTATTTAATATTTTGTCAGTAAATGCCATGTAGATCTGCCAGGTTGGTAGAAGTCTGAAAGTGGAAAGGGTTTTAGAATCTTGGACTGTGAAGTCCCCGGTGAGGGATGCAGGCTGACTCTAAAGTGGGAAGCTTGGTAGCTGCTTGGGTGGCTGTGGACTAACACATTCTTTCTCCCTACCCTATCCTGCAGGATGTGGATAAGTGGTCCTTTGATGTCTTTTCCCTCAATGAAGCCAGTGGGGATCATGCACTGAAATTTATTTTCTATGAATTACTCACACGCTATGATCTGATCAGCCGTTTCAAGGTTAGTGCCTAATTTTACAAAATGCATGCATTTATCCATCCTTGCATGTCTTTTGGGCTAAGACGAAGAGAAACCTTTTCATATGGACAGGAAACTGCTCAGGGGAATGTGGGAAACATCATCTGGACAGCCCTTGCCCTGCACCCCTCTTTGGTGGGAACTTTTCCTTCATCCCTTGCCTGGTGGGACTCACTGGCAAGGGAGAGCTGGAGCCACACCTTTTGACACCAGTCATTCTAGAAGTACAACCCAAAGCCTGTACTAGCAGAGCTCCCCTGAGGCTCTGCCCACAGACCTCATTCCAGCCTGATCTCATGTACTATCGACCACTGCCAGCAAGGAGACTGTAATGGAGACAGAGCGTGCATCTGTTCTCTCTGCAAACTCTTTTTCCAGCACTTGGTCCAAATTCAGACAAGTACTCTCCCTCATCGTCTGTGACAGATCATTGGTATTTCACAAGCAAGTCCCATTCTTGCTTCAAATTAATTCTTCAACTTTAAGTAAAGAGCATGAATCGTTTCTAGTGTTCAATCCCCTCAGCCTTCTAATACCAAAGACTCTGGAGGTGGGGCGGGTTCCCCAGGGAACCTGTGCATTCATCTGCTGATATCCATCATATCATGACCCTCAGACTTATCTTATCACATGATGAACCTCTGGAAAATGCAGGTCTTTTTCTATATAATATTGATTTCTCTGGACAGCGTTGTTCTTTACTGCTTTCCTAAGGACTGTGTAGTTGGTAGTATATTTCTTACATTGCCATAAATATTTTACGGTAGTGTCCTTATTTTTTTTTGCATCAGAAACCTGCTTGAAAGTCCAATTAGATGCTCAAGACACTGCTCAGATCAAAGTTTCCGTACACATGCACGTACCTTTACCTACCATTTCGGTGGCTCATAGATCTCTTACAAGTAACTCAAGGAACCTAGGTTCATTGGATCTTCATATTTGATAATGATAATGAATTAATCTCTGACATCTAAAAGGCAATAAATTTTTATAAATCCACAAATGGTAAACATGGCAATTTTCAAGTTGTCCAATAATTTCTTCAGTGATTTTTGCTAACTTTGAAAAGTTCTAATTTCTTCATATGGTATGTTATGTCTTCTGAAGGAGGCAGCTAGAAAGACTTTTGCTTCCTCACTTAAAGCTACAAAATCACCAGCTAATTAACCTCACTGCTCTCTTTCAGATCCCCATTTCTGCACTTGTCTCATTTGTGGAAGCCCTGGAAGTGGGATACAGCAAGCATAAAAATCCTTACCACAATTTAATGCATGCCGCTGATGTTACACAGACTGTGCATTACCTCCTCTATAAGACAGGAGTGGCGGTAAGTGCAGATAGGAACTCAAATTACATGACAGATGGTGTTTTATTGGAGGCTGTTCCTATTCAGATGAGGCTGAGCCCATAAGAAGTGCCTTGTCTTATAGATTTCCTGTTCCCCAAGAATTATTTAATAGTCATGAAAGTCTTTGGGTTCTTTATTGCCTCTTATGTTTTCTCCATCCTGGACTCGATGAAATGAATATCTGGTAGTAACTTATATTCTTATTAGGTTATGACCAAATTAAATCTGATTTCTAGAAGTAAATATATATTTCCAGATATGGAGAGTGGTGCTATTAACCTCTTGCTGTGGCTAATCGCAGTGATATCCGTTCATACTGAAATTAGTCTGAGTATACTTAGTAACTAGGTTGCACAATTAGCTTTTGGTTTAAACCACTAGATCTTTTTCACAAGGACTAAGGTTATTCTCATCCTATTTACTACTTATGTGTGCATTTGTTTTGTTTGAACCTAAAGGTCAATCTTTACCTCCAGACATTTGAAATTTTTCTTGCCTGTCTTGGCCCCAAATTTCAGCTCTTCAGATGTTTTTGAATTTCTGTTCTGTAATCTATTGTATTAACTGATCTGTTCAGCTTGGTTATCTGTGTGCACCTCTGCCTTGATGTAAGCCATTAATTTTATAAGATACTGCTGTTAATGACAAACAGCTAGGTCTCTATGGTAACTCTCTATGACTTTTTACTTTGAAATCTTCTTCAGAATTGACATCAAGATAGATGTTGTTTGGGTATGGTTATTAATTAGTCCATACACCCTACTAATTTGTTATCTTTTCCTCTAGGGCATGTTGAAAGACTTGGTCTAATATTTCACTGAATTAAAAATGGAATACAGTGGGAGGAGTGTGGGCTTTGGAGCTAGCTATAGTTGGATATAAATCCTTGCTTAATTGCTTATTAGATTTTGTGACTTATGATAAATCGTTTGACTCTCTGAATCAGGATTTCCTCATTTCTAAAATGGTGAAAAGTCCTGTAGAAGTACTGAGGCAGGAATGAAATACCAAAATCATGAACTGCTCGTCTGCCTCATAAAGGAAGCTCAACAGTTAGGAATTGTTGTTATGAAAACTACAGGTTTCCTCAAAACTTCTCATCAGTCTTTAATTCTTCCTTATTGTAAAGCTGATTTCCTAAAAATATTATTTAAAAAGCTGTCTTTTAAATTAAAGAAACACTATAAAGGCAACCTGTTCAAGGTAATGAATGGTTTCTGCCAGAAACTTAGAGCAAATGTTATAGTTAATGGTGGTTCCATGAAAGCCTGGAGCAAACAAGAGATGCCCACACTAATATCGCTATTGAACATTTTTCTGGAGATCTCAGCCCATGCAATACAGTATCTAAAAAAGATGAAGATAGTAATCAAATATCATCTTTAAAACAATCAAGGAAACCAACCACAAATTATTAGATCAAATAAAAGACCTCAATAAGATCTGGATAAGATAGTTGTCCCATACACTGGAAATTACCAAATGTAATAGAAAAACATACATTCCCAAATGTTTACAAAATGTCTAAAGTTACCTATGAAGAACTTTAAGACTAATAAAAAGGAAACTGTAAAAATAAGGGCAAAAAGCTAATGTTTAAGTAAGAAAGAAATACACCATGTTTTTAATGTGGAGCCTTAGTAATGACATGTCATGTCAGTTTTCCTCAAACTAATCTATAAATTCCGAGCAATACCAATTAAAATTCCAATAGGATTTAACATGAAACTTGACAAACTGAATCTAAAATTTATGTAAAATGGATATTTTATCACTTTATAAAAAAGCAGTGTTTAAAAAGACAATGTATGTGGTAGGGTAGTTTTTACTCTACTAGATAATAAAATATCTGCTGAAGCCATAGTAATAAAAATAGTGTGGTATTTATGTAAAAATAGACAAAAATCAATGGAATTGATTAGAGTTTCAAAAACTAAACTCAAATATTTATTGAGAACTTATGTGCTGGGTACTTTCTTACAGAATGAATATATATTGGTGCTCTTACCAAACTTGCATTCTAGTGGGAGGTTACAGATGGAAGTCAAATGAAAAAATAAACAAGATAATATCGCTTGTGTTCTGTAGAGAATCAAAATGGGACTCCCATGGGGGACACCTGGGAGTTTTTCTAGATAGTTAGGAATGGCCTCTCTCTGGAGGTAATATTTAATCTGAGACAGTCATTATTTTAGGCTTGAGACATGCTGGGAACTGAAGAAGAATATGCTAGCAGAGATAGTACAGGATTAGTACAAAATCCCTCAATGAGACAGCAGCTTTGTGGCATTCACAGAGTAGAAACAAGGCAAGCATGGTGGGAACAGCATGTGAGAGGGCCAGTACTGTAGGACAAGGTTGGAGAAGACGGCAGGGGCCAGACCAAGTCTGGTTTTGTAGGAGTTCCATTTCTGGGTAAGGAGTTCCATTTCTATGTCCAGTGTGAGGCTGCTGTAGGGTGTTAGACATGGGAGTGGTGTGATCTGGTAAAGATGAGAAGAATATTATTGTGGAGAAGGATTATGAGGCAGCCTATTAGGAGGTATTGCCAAAGTCTACTGGAAAGATAATGGTAGTTGGGACTAGGAAGGACATGCTGGGATACAGAGACAAAAAAACCCTGTTTCTGAAGCAGAATTAAGAGGATTAGGTGGCACATACGATTTAGAATTATTAAAGAGAGGAATCAAGAGTACATCTACATTTTTGGTTTGATAAACAGGTTAATGAGAGAGCCTGGTGGAAAGGCAGGCTTTGCGGGAAGGGAAATCAAGAGTTTTGATTTAGACATGTTGAGTTTAAGATCACTATTAGACATCAATGTGGAGGCATCAAGCAAGAAGAAAACGAAAGGAGTCTAGAGTTCTGGGAAAGAGGTCAGAGATGGACATGTACATTGGGCAATCCCAGGCATAACATATTATGTAAAGGCATGGAACCAGATGAGGTTCTCTATCTAAAAAGAGAATGTGAAAAGAGAAGTAGAAGGGTTTCTGAAGTGACTCCTGGAGCAGGCCAAAGTTTAAAACGATGGTAGAGTGCCAACAATAGTAACGAAAAAGGAGTGGCCAGTGACCTTCTGACAAAAACCAGGAGACCTTCTGACATGACCAAGGGTCATGGAAGCCCAGGAAAGAAAGTGCTGAATTGCTGGGCCATACCAAAAGGTCAAGTAAGGTGAGGATGGGGAAGTGAGCACTGTCTTTGGCAACCTGGCAGACATAAGTAGCCTTGGGGGCTTGGTGAGGTTGGGACACTGACTAGAATAGAAGGAAGACAGAATTGCAGGTGAGGTGAAGTCACATCTATAAACAACGACATTATAGGGAAAATTACTTAGTTCAAAAAATGTTTGGGGGATAGTTGTTCATTTGGAAACAATCAGAATGTTTTTGTCTTACTTCAACTCATTCACCAAAGTTTGGACAAATAAATTAAAGATGTTTGTATAAAAATAAATGTTTATAGCCTTGTGAAGGGAGATTCGTTTCTGAATAATCCTCAAAACACAAAAGTCAAATAATAAAATATTGATCAATTTGAGTATATTAAAATTAAAACAGTGTGCTGTGGAGATGTAAAGATGAATCATACACAGCTTTTTTAACCCTCCAGAAAAACTCCCAAGGATTTATGCTAATGCAAGTTATCATTAACGTAAATGTTGTATCATAGCAGCCAGTGATCAGATGTACTGCATACTATTCTTAAATGAGCTCCTTTGCCATTGAATTTTCATTTTCAATTCAGGCCATATTCAGAATAATTCTTAAATATAGAAACTACTTCCTGCCCACTCTCTCTTGAAAATACAGCTCAAAACAAACTTACTTCAGTGCAAGCTTACAAAAACAGCAGGAAGCGTTCAGATGAACGGAGAACATATTGTTACTTTAACCTTTCATTACAAACCAGAAGGGGCAAAATGCTTTAAATCATTTCAGGTTTATAAACTGTTAGACACATAGGGAATCAAAACATCCCATTGATAAAGTGATGTCCGAATTCAACATCAACAGTATTACTCACTGTGATCTGTTTATATTGCTCATTATTGCCTAACTTGGAGGCCTAAAAGATGCTTGAATCCTTTCAGAATCATTATGCTCATTTCTAAGAGGAAATCCTTGAATAGAATTAGACTGGAGGGTTGTTGGTTGAATAGATGGGAATTGAACTCTGAGTTTCAGTCTGCTTTTGATTTCGGTCAAAAGATTCCAATCTCCAAAGCTATCCCTGGATCCCCTTTACTGCTTTTGTAGCACAAGGTGCCATTAATTTTCTTTTGGCTTATGTTTTTAGAAGGGAGTAATGGCATCTTGGCTAAAGAATGCTAAGTAATTTTACTAAGGTTTGTGGTCAGCACAATTTTGGCCTCCCTGACCTTTGCCCTCTGCTGTCACACTTGTTAATAGTTACAGTAGAGGGCAAAAGGGTCTTTGCAGACACAAGGAAGGTTGCTAATCAGAGGACCTTAAACTAGGAAGATGATTCTGGATTCTCCAGGTGGACCCAGTGCAATCACCTTAGCCCTCAAAAGTCAAAAGGTATGGGAGAAGAAGTGTGAGAAGGGCTTGGCCAGCCATGGCTAGCTCAAAAAGGAGGGAGCCATGGGGAAGCATGAGAAGGAAGTGAATTCTGCCAATGACGCGAATGCGCCTGGAAGCAGATTTTTCCACAGAGCTCCCAGAAAGGAGTGCGGCCTCGCCCACACCTTGATTTCAGCCTCGTGAGGGCCTCACCAGTTAATCCCCACACTGTGCTGACTTCTGACCTATGGAACTGTATGCCAGTTGATGAGAGGTGTTCTTTAAGCCTTAAGTTTGTGGTAATTTGTTCAGGCAGCAATGGAAAACTAATATGGGGTGGAAACAGATTGCTAAGGAAACCCATTCATGCACGAAAGCCACGGCTTGCTCATGCAGCCCTACATGGTTTTGCCCAGGTCCTTTTCCTTCTGGTTTCCCAGCTCCTCCTCTGTACACACACACACACACACACACACACAAACACACATGGCTTGCTCTTCTGAGTCACACACAGCAAAATTCAAAGTCTACCATTACCGGTTGTCAAGGCATCCCTGTCATTAAATTAATTGTGACATTTTTATTTTGTGCACAGGGAAATATTGATAGGATCTGTGGCTTGTACCTTGTCACAGTTTGATAAATCTGGAATAAAATTCACATGGGACTTACATGTCTGTCTTCTTATGGGTCATAAAACCTCTTGGTTCACAGTAATTAACTCAGAAAAGGCAAGGAAATCTGAACCATATTAAAATATGAAACCCAATTCCTCAAAATAGCTTTCCCACCTTCTCTGTTTCTATTAACGATGCCACCTACTGTTTTTTTCATTTTTGTTTTTTTTGCCACTCAGGCTAGGAAAGCTGGGGTCATGTTTAATTCATCTTTCTCCTTGACTGCAACTTCTTCTTGCCACCAACCCCGCCCTGCATTCACTGATTTGCTAAGTCATGTAGATTCTACCTCCATACCATCTCTATGGCCTATAAGGACTTCAAATCCAAAAGTACTGCTCTTATTTCTCCCTCTCAGATGCACGTAACCATATTTCTCTCTTGCACACAAGCTTCATTGCCTATTGAATCCAGTTTGTGTTCCACACCTGGTTTTTAATGCCTGACGTCACAGGACCCTAATCAGCCCTAATTCCAGTAAAGGGAATCATTTCCTCCCTTGTGATGAAACAGCTTTCGCTGCTGGGACTTGATAATTTGTTCATTCTTCTGAAAATCCCCACTTCCATTTCTTGCTGTGTCCAGTCTTCAAGGCCCATCCTAAATGTCCCTCCTCTGTGAAGCTGTTTCTCATCCTTTCTTTTTCTTTCGCCAGATACCATCTCTTCTTTCTTCTTATCCCCAAATAGCAAAACTGATTCTAAACATCCACAGAATTTGTTGATAAGCCAAGGTGTTAAAATGAGTTTTACAGGCTGTATGGTTTTATTTTTTGTTGTATGCTTGCTTAATCATTTGTTGGTTTTGCTTCATTAAAACATATGGTCTTCTTAGTATTATCCTGTTAGTAGATAGGGTAAGGGGGGATGTTATAGTGGCATTTGTAACACGAAAACTGATTATGTAGTTACTGCGACACCTTCTGCTGGCTGGGCTGATGCTTTGTAATTCACATTTGTCTAGATGGTACACTGTCTCCCATTCCTAATCTTCTTTTAAAATGTCAGATTAACTTTGGGTGAACTCAGAGAAAGAGGTATATGGTGGGGAATGGGTAGAGGGAGTCAGGACAGATGAATGGGGGCAGAGTTTTGGGGGGAGAAAAGACAGACATCACCAAAATGAAAACAACATACGTAAGGAAAATATCAAGACTATATGTAATATAATATGTAATTTTATGAAAAATTGAGTAAACAAAGGAACAACGACCCAAAGGAAATAGGACTTGGAGATTCTGAGTTGGGACTCTGGTGTGTGGCTTGTGATATGACTAGCTGTGTGTGTAACATTGGGTAAATTATTGAACCTTGGCTAACTAGTTTCCTTTTCGATCACATGGGACACCCAGTATCTACCATTATGGAGTTGTGGGTACTGCATTGCATCTTTATGTAAAGCACCTAGAATAGTGCCCGACACAAAGTGAGCCCCTGTGTGCAGCCCTGTTCAGGAAGCCCACTGCTGCTTTCAAGTTAGATTTTGCAGCTCCGGTTTTCTTGAAGTTTTTATTTGTCTTAATTTTCAACTTCATTTTGTTGATTTTGTATCTGTTTTCTCTTTGCATCTTTCTGTTTCTAGTAAATACAGTTTATATTTATATTATCAAAGATGCCAGAAAGTTTCCTGACATCTCATGCTGGATTCTGCTAGAAATAATTTTCGGGAGGATAGTTATTTTTTCCCCTTAGTTATCTCTATACTCATTGTTTTCTTACTATGAAATTTTTTTTTCATGGGTTGTATATAGTTTATTTATTTTCTCCTTAGCTATCCTCAAAGAAGGCAATAATTCTCAGGAAATGTCTTAGATGAAGATTAACATTAGTTAACTGAAAAAAAATAGTCAAAGTGGGAATTATGAAAATTTGTTCATTTTTAATCATTTTGTATTAACTTAAATCAGATGAATATGTTTCTTCACTGATCTTTCAGACCCCTGGCTCTTTTCTGAATTCTTCCATTTAGGGTACTCATATTTGTCTCACATTAACCTGGCCTCTGTATAAGATTTCTAGTTTCATTTCTTCAAAGGGAAATGGAGATTAAAGAAACTCATGAAGCATGCTGAGTGGAGAATCCCTCTAAAATTTTGTAATTGTTTACTGTTGTTTCACAGTCATCACACCTGTTTTCACAGCATTACTTTTAGTGACTGTCTAAAGCATCGAACTTACGTTCTTTAGATATAACAACTCCACTTTTGTGCTCATATGTTATTGGTTTATGTCATATTTAATTACATAATTATAATAACAAGCACAACTTGTCACAACAGGGTTTGGAATGAACCACACTGAAACTTGTATCAACTCAGCTAGTAACAACAGTGAGCAGAGGGTGGGCTGCCTGTCAGGGATGTGCTGTCATGTGGGCACTGGGCAGTGTGGTTTATGGGTGGTGGGAAGCATCAGTGAATCCACAGGGCTATTGAAATGGAAGTCAGGTAAGGCAGCTTCCCATATAGCAGTGGTTCTCCAACACGAGTGTGCCTCAGAATTACCTGGATAGCTTGGTAAAACATATATTGTTGGTACAATGCAGTCTCTGGTTCAATGGGTTGGAGTGGGATTTGCATTTCTCTCAAACTTCCAGTTGATGCTACCTCTGCTGAACCAGGGAACACACTTTGAGAACCATTGAAGTACCACTGATTTTGGTTGTATGGATGGATGGTACAGGGCTCTTAAAATATCAGCATGCATAAGGTGAAAGGCTCAGTGTTATGTTTTCATCTGCCTACCTACCCATCTTCCAGTGGATAGACATGAGCTTTTCTGTTACTCTTAGTTCTTGGTACTGTACTGAATCAAAAAAAATTAAAAAAGGATGAATGAGGGCTTTTAAAGTTTTCATGTTTATTGTTCTTTGCTTCTGTGAAAAAAATAAAATGACTAGTTAGCTTTTTCAACCTTACTGGGCATGCTCTTTCAAATCACGCCTCCTCCAGTGTCCTTACAGGAAAAAAAGGCATTTCTGTCTGTTAGAAAACATGTGCTTGGTGATAGCTTGCCAGCTGCAGGGTGGAAAGGCAGCAATGTGGGTGTGTTGTCAGCAAGCTGAAGACTTTGTCTGAGAAAAAGACAGATTATCTGATTGCTCTGTAATCTCCCTTTCAGAACTGGCTGACGGAGCTGGAGATCTTTGCTATAATCTTCTCAGCTGCCATCCATGACTATGAGCACACCGGAACCACCAACAACTTCCACATTCAGACCCGGTGAGGATGTGGAGATGTTTAGAGAAAAGGCAAAGGGGGGCTGGATCAGAGTTCTAGAAGTCAGGTGTTCGTCCCCTTTCTCATGCCTGCTCTGATTTGCATTTCTGAAAAAAATGAACCATCAAGAAGCAATCAGCTTAGATCAAGACTTAAGAGTTTACGAAGTTATCTGCTCCTAATTCTCCCATTTTATTCATATTGAATATGGATATCCCTTTCTTCTCTGTTCTAATGCTGTTCATTTATGTAAGTACTCTGCATACTCTCTTTTATTGAAGTATAGCTGATACACAGTGTTAATTGGTTTCAGGTATACAACACGGTGATTTGACAATTCTGTACATTACAAAATGCTCACCATGATAAATGTAGTTACCATCACCATACAAAGTTATTACAGTATTATTGACTATATTCCCTATGCTGTACTTTTTGTCCCTGTGACTTATTTATTTTATAATTGGAAGTCTGTACCTCTCTATCCCCTTCACCTGTTTGCCTATCCTCCCTCCTCTCTGGCAACCACCAGTATGTGATTTCACATCTATGTGGAATCTAAAAAAATAAAACAAACAAACAAACAAAACAGAAATGCTCCACCTGTTTCTAATAGGTGGCGGAACAGTTTACATAAAGGAGCAGATTCCATGTAGACTAAATCAGTGAGGATGGATAACACTTGGAGTATTTCTGTTGACAAGAACAATAACAGAGCTTTCTTACCCTCTAATCTCTGGGGTCATGGTGGTGCTCTTCTCATCCTCCCTGATTTCATCTCTGTTCTGTTCAGTGCGTTTATGGTTCCCTGGCTCGGTGTGGGGAGCGAGGTTGTCTTGTGGGCCACCTTCATCATGGGCAACCTCTGTGGCCTCTGTGATGAACCGGTACCTGCAAACCTCTGCGGGGTCTATTAAACATGGATCTGAGTGCCCACCTCTGAACCTCTGGCCTGTAACAGATATCTCTAATGAATTTTGGTTTATTTTTTTTACCAAGCTACATATTTATCCTTAGGATTCCTCTCAGCACAGAATTCCAGGCAAGCAGGACTGGCCAGTTGTCATTTCCATTTAGATGAAACCTGATCTTCCCTCCCCCAGCCTAAGAACTTACCTTCTCTTAATACAATGATATGGAACTGCAGTGACCCTGACAGTAGGGCTAACTTGGCCTTGAGGTAGGAATTAAAAGAAATTAGACTTTAGGGAGACATGGCAAGACAAAGATAGAGAAGATACAGCAAGGGGTGAGAATCTAACACCAAATAAATACTTGCTGTGGAGGATAGTTATTTTTTCCCCTTAGTTATCTCTATACTCATTGTTTTCTTACTATGAAATTTTTTTTTCATGGGTTGTATATAGTTTATTTATTTTCTCCTTAGCTATCCTCAAAGAAGGCAATAATTCTCAGGAAATGTCTTAGATGAAGATTAACATTAGTTAACTGAAAAAAAATAGTCAAAGTGGGAATTATGAAAATTTGTTCATTTTTAATCATTTTGTATTAACTTAAATCAGATGAATATGTTTCTTCACTGATCTTTCAGACCCCTGGCTCTTTTCTGAATTCTTCCATTTAGGGTACTCATATTTGTCTCACATTAACCTGGCCTCTGTATAAGATTTCTAGTTTCATTTCTTCAAAGGGAAATGGAGATTAAAGAAACTCATGAAGCATGCTGAGTGGAGAATCCCTCTAAAATTTTGTAATTGTTTACTGTTGTTTCACAGTCATCACACCTGTTTTCACAGCATTACTTTTAGTGACTGTCTAAAGCATCGAACTTACGTTCTTTAGATATAACAACTCCACTTTTGTGCTCATATGTTATTGGTTTATGTCATATTTAATTACATAATTATAATAACAAGCACAACTTGTCACAACAGGGTTTGGAATGAACCACACTGAAACTTGTATCAACTCAGCTAGTAACAACAGTGAGCAGAGGGTGGGCTGCCTGTCAGGGATGTGCTGTCATGTGGGCACTGGGCAGTGTGGTTTATGGGTGGTGGGAAGCATCAGTGAATCCACAGGGCTATTGAAATGGAAGTCAGGTAAGGCAGCTTCCCATATAGCAGTGGTTCTCCAACACGAGTGTGCCTCAGAATTACCTGGATAGCTTGGTAAAACATATATTGTTGGTACAATGCAGTCTCTGGTTCAATGGGTTGGAGTGGGATTTGCATTTCTCTCAAACTTCCAGTTGATGCTACCTCTGCTGAACCAGGGAACACACTTTGAGAACCATTGAAGTACCACTGATTTTGGTTGTATGGATGGATGGTACAGGGCTCTTAAAATATCAGCATGCATAAGGTGAAAGGCTCAGTGTTATGTTTTCATCTGCCTACCTACCCATCTTCCAGTGGATAGACATGAGCTTTTCTGTTACTCTTAGTTCTTGGTACTGTACTGAATCAAAAAAAAATAAAAAAGGATGAATGAGGGCTTTTAAAGTTTTCATGTTTATTGTTCTTTGCTTCTGTGAAAAAAATAAAATGACTAGTTAGCTTTTTCAACCTTACTGGGCATGCTCTTTCAAATCACGCCTCCTCCAGTGTCCTTACAGGAAAAAAAGGCATTTCTGTCTGTTAGAAAACATGTGCTTGGTGATAGCTTGCCAGCTGCAGGGTGGAAAGGCAGCAATGTGGGTGTGTTGTCAGCAAGCTGAAGACTTTGTCTGAGAAAAAGACAGATTATCTGATTGCTCTGTAATCTCCCTTTCAGAACTGGCTGACGGAGCTGGAGATCTTTGCTATAATCTTCTCAGCTGCCATCCATGACTATGAGCACACCGGAACCACCAACAACTTCCACATTCAGACCCGGTGAGGATGTGGAGATGTTTAGAGAAAAGGCAAAGGGGGGCTGGATCAGAGTTCTAGAAGTCAGGTGTTCGTCCCCTTTCTCATGCCTGCTCTGATTTGCATTTCTGAAAAAAATGAACCATCAAGAAGCAATCAGCTTAGATCAAGACTTAAGAGTTTACGAAGTTATCTGCTCCTAATTCTCCCATTTTATTCATATTGAATATGGATATCCCTTTCTTCTCTGTTCTAATGCTGTTCATTTATGTAAGTACTCTGCATACTCTCTTTTATTGAAGTATAGCTGATACACAGTGTTAATTGGTTTCAGGTATACAACACGGTGATTTGACAATTCTGTACATTACAAAATGCTCACCATGATAAATGTAGTTACCATCACCATACAAAGTTATTACAGTATTATTGACTATATTCCCTATGCTGTACTTTTTGTCCCTGTGACTTATTTATTTTATAATTGGAAGTCTGTACCTCTCTATCCCCTTCACCTGTTTGCCTATCCTCCCTCCTCTCTGGCAACCACCAGTATGTGATTTCACATCTATGTGGAATCTAAAAAAATAAAACAAACAAACAAACAAAACAGAAATGCTCCACCTGTTTCTAATAGGTGGCGGAACAGTTTACATAAAGGAGCAGATTCCATGTAGACTAAATCAGTGAGGATGGATAACACTTGGAGTATTTCTGTTGACAAGAACAATAACAGAGCTTTCTTACCCTCTAATCTCTGGGGTCATGGTGGTGCTCTTCTCATCCTCCCTGATTTCATCTCTGTTCTGTTCAGTGCGTTTATGGTTCCCTGGCTCGGTGTGGGGAGCGAGGTTGTCTTGTGGGCCACCTTCATCATGGGCAACCTCTGTGGCCTCTGTGATGAACCGGTACCTGCAAACCTCTGCGGGGTCTATTAAACATGGATCTGAGTGCCCACCTCTGAACCTCTGGCCTGTAACAGATATCTCTAATGAATTTTGGTTTATTTTTTTTACCAAGCTACATATTTATCCTTAGGATTCCTCTCAGCACAGAATTCCAGGCAAGCAGGACTGGCCAGTTGTCATTTCCATTTAGATGAAACCTGATCTTCCCTCCCCCAGCCTAAGAACTTACCTTCTCTTAATACAATGATATGGAACTGCAGTGACCCTGACAGTAGGGCTAACTTGGCCTTGAGGTAGGAATTAAAAGAAATTAGACTTTAGGGAGACATGGCAAGACAAAGATAGAGAAGATACAGCAAGGGGTGAGAATCTAACACCAAATAAATACTTGCTGATTTCACTTAAAAAAGCAGGTATACACTCCAGATAGGGTTGTGTTCACTAAAACAATCTACATGTATTTAATGAACCCAACACCTAACTATGGGGTGCACAAAGAAGACAGTATTGCTGGATCTCTGTTTCAGAAGGGGGATTTCAATAGAATGGCAGAGGACAAAAGGACTTGAGCCACTTGCTTCATTTTCTACCTCCTGCCTCCTCACCGGACAGTCTCAGCTGCTGGGAAGCAGCGTTTCATAATTCTGTTGCAAGGTCTTTAGATAAAGGGAATTTCACAGAGCATCTCTGTTTAGTGGGCATCTGCAAGTGGAACCTTTGCTTTGAGGACAGAGACTGCAGTGAATAGCACCTGCTGAAGGGAGGGAGGTGGGTGGAAAAATCGTACATGGATCTTGGCTGGAGACCAGCATCAAAACCAGTCACAATCCCGGGGGGAAATGGCTTAATTACAGGAGTTGGAAAATAACTTAATATCACAAAATATACAGCAGTTAGCGCTCTACTTACTTAACAAATATAAGATTAGATCTTTCACCTCAGGATTTGCATGTTTTGTGTTACCCCCATAGGAGTGGGAAAATTTCAGTGGGTCAGTTATGCTTGGTTCAGAGTGAAATGAAAGCATTGACCTTCTATAACAGAACTTGATCCAAAGCATCTCAGCTTGTGTGATCCCAATTCAGAAAACTAAGTCTGTGACCAGGTTCTTTGTCCTTTGATGGTATATTAAGGTCAGTACTTTAAAGGTATGATTGATAGGTCTCCAAGTTTGGCCAGTGACAATCTTGGGGAGCAGTGGTCCAACTGTCAGAACACCTCAACTTCATCCCAATCCAAATTTAGCCACTGTAGGGCTCTGTGAAGTCCCTTTATATCCCTGGGACTCAGCCTCCTTGGTGAGAAAAGAGCTGTAATATAATAATCTAAATTTCATTAAATTAAAGATACTGAAATAGTATACAGGTCTGTGTTTTGGTGGACTGGTCTTTGAGAAAGTGACCAACAATTTTCAGGTAATCCTTACATTGCTCACTTGCACTTGTTCACATATGGCTTCTGCATGGCAAAATTTTGAGATCGAGCCACCACCAGAGGAACTTGCAAACTGAACCTGCCAGGTGGTATGTGTTCAGAGAATTACAACTAAAATAAGTAAACGAATTCTCCCATTGAAAAAATTAAAATAAAATATTAAAGTCATCCTGGAAAATGTAAAGAAGTTTTTATTTGACCCACATTAAAAAAAAAAAAACAGTTTTGCCAATTGGGATCTGGTTATAAAATAGTTTTCAGAGTTCTCAGGTTGGAATTCGCATATTTCACACCCACATATCATACACCATGTATTAAAATACCATACATACAACTACTGATAATTTGTAGTGTTGGTTTTAGCTTATTGGTTGATATAAATGACATGGGGTCAAAGATAATGGCTAACCATAGGAAAAAGAGAAGGTGCACTCTTGCTTAAGAGAGTTACCTGAAAAACCTCCACTGTTTAACATCCCAAATTATTTTGCTTGGCTTTCTCTTCAGGTCTGACCCAGCTATTCTGTACAATGATAGGTCTGTTTTGGAAAATCATCATTTAAGTGCAACTTATCGCCTTCTGCAAGAGGATGAGGAAATGAATATTTTGATCAACCTCTCAAAGGATGACTGGAGGTAAGGATGAGACAAGAGAGAGGTTTGGAGACTAGGAAAGAAACTGAGAGGAGAGCCAAATTACACTGCTTTTGGAGAAATAATGCCCTATCTGAAATGTTTATTGCTATCTGTCTGTCTCTCTCCATCCCCATTCCGCCCTCCCTCTCCTTCTTTTATTTCTCTCTCTCTCTCTCTTTTCTTGACACAAATATTCAAATATGTTGCAGGCACTTTGGAAATATTTGCTGTTTGTTGCCTTAGAAACTTATGTTGCTCTTATCTTAGTCTCTTAAATCTGAGTTGTATCATTTAACAACTTGTTTTTGACCTTATAGGTAATTTGAACTTCTTAAAAAAATCTTCCAGAATTTGCAAAGGAGATTATTCTGACACTTAAAAGAAAAGTTATGGGCACCTATTTCTGTTGCTTCAGTGACACTGTGTGCCTTTGAGTTCAGGCACACCCGAGTTTGAATGTGGAAACAGTTACTAGCTGTGTGACATTTAGGAAGTGACTTAGCCCCTTCACACCTTTTTAAAATTTAATTTCTAGAAAATAGATAATACTGTGTACCCTGTGATTTGGTTAGGATTATAATAAATGATATAATTAGCATACTTTGTGACATATGTAGCAACTTCTGCAAATCACTGTAGCTGTAATTGTAGGTCAAAGTGTTTCAAAGCTTATAGACAAAATGATTTAAATCCTTACAAAATGCTGAATCCACAGTGATGAAAATAGTACTTATGTTTCAATTAGATGATCAACCATTTCTTGAGTATCTCTGTGCTAGCCATTTTGCAAGAATTCAGGGAAGTAAGTCATACTGAACAATAAATCAGAAATGGAGTTTTAGTTAGTTGGCTGTTCGTTTCTAATGCAGCTCTCATTTATTAAAATGTAAAGGAATATTTGGCTTGAATTTTTTTTTGGAAAAATCTGGATTCAGCCAGCACGTGAAAAATGCAGAGCCTTTCAGTTAGTCAGTGCATATCTTCTGGAGAAAAGGAACCCTCTCTCCAATTTAAAGTTGGTAAAAGTACTAAGAAGATTTGCATATGGTAGAGAACAGCCTCATGCATATTCATGCATGTTCAGAAACATCCTGATTTGCAAGGATTTGTATGAGGTCTTTACATAGCATATATTCCTGTTATTAAGACAATCTAATAAAGTGCTCCAAAGGTTGTATAACTGCCTTTTTTTTTTGATCCTGGGGAAGAAAAGTTGGGTAGAAGCATCCTAGATTCCCATGCAGTTAAAGAAAGTTTGGCAATGCTGTCAGGAAATCATTGAGCCAAAGTCAGCCATCAGAGGACTTCCACATTTCCCAAGAAGGGGTGCCCTCAGCTATTGGCTGGAAGTAGCCCATGAAGAATGGCCCTGGAGGAATAATGGCCATAATTTTCAGAATGCAGTAGCTAAGGCCCGTGGCCAAATAATTTGTGTAGTTGGAAACCTGTGAGGTACATTCTTATGGTCACTATCCACTAGTAATCAAAATACCATATTAAATTGCTGCATAATACTCCATCTATGAAGCCCTATAATTACTTACATTTTGAGTGTGTTTGTGCATTTTAGTTATAAAGAATCCTACAATGAACATCTTTTAAGTATTTTTTTTTCATGTGTAGAATTAATGGATCAAAGAGTGTTGTTTCAAGGTTCTTGATGAACTTTGTCAAATTGCTTTCAGATAAGGCACAGATATTGCTAGACTGAGGGATTTGTGGGAACATGGGAATTATGTCTTGATGGGCATAATTGCCTCTTAACACATTTTCAAAGCATAGATATTCCACCTCTATTGCCTATTTTTGTTAAGGCTTTTCTATTGTGTAAGTTTGTCAAAAATTTAGCTATATTATTTGTGTTTCCACTGTACTGTGATGTTAAGCCTTATTTACTCGTCAATCTACTACAATGTTAGTGAGGCTGGCTTAGGTAGCATCTAAACCCAGTCACTGGAACACACCAGATTATATCGTTCACACTGGAATACACTAATATTCACCAGTGTAACCATCCTAATTGTTTATCATTCTTATTGGTGGGTATTTGTGAAGCACTAGTTGTGAACAATTTGACTATCACCTCTGATCAAAACAAGTTGTATTATTGAGTGATTAAGCAAAAATAAGTGAATTGAGTATTTAAAAAAAGTCAAACTAGTCACTTGAAAAATATAAGTTAGTGAAATCTGTTTATGTGCTGTTCTTATGTTTTCCTTATTGAGTACTGTTTCTCAAAGAGAGTGAAGTATGATTGAATGAAAATCATGGTATATCACAGGCATAGGATGTCCTCATTCAGTGGAAACCTCTTTATAATTGTAGTCTCTAGCGCCATGCTTTGTTGTTACTCCTATTTTGGGGGAGTCTGTAGGTAAAGAAAAAATTGTAGTTGATGACTTTTAAAATTTAAGTTACATAGAATTAGTGTTCTACTGTATTTTCATTAAAGAACAGTTTTAAAAATAGTTTTATTATTTTATCATATTTTATTACCATTTAGTTATATTGCCCCAAGATAATGGTATTATCTCATAAGTAAACTATTAACATTATTTAGCACTCTAAGGAAAGCCCATTAACTCAAAGATAACATATGGCTAGTATCCTATGTCTTTCTAGGAAAGCGATAGTAGTACCTGATAGATTCCATTTGGGTGTATAGTGCATCAGACATTTCCTTTAAATTGTGTGCTTTTCAGCAGTATCTTCTTCCCCAGGGTTTGCACTCATTTAAGTTTGCCCTTAGCATTTAGACATGATATCTTTTTTTTTAAATTATTAAGGTATAATTGATATACAATCTTATGAAGGTTTCACACGAGCAACATTGTGGTTGCTACATTCCCCCCTATTATCAAGTCCCTACCACACACCCCATTACAGTCACTGCCCATCAGCATAGTAAGATACTATAGAGTCACTGCTTGTCTTCTCTGTGTTATACTGCCTTCCCTGTACCACACATATTTCTTATATCAGATTTGTATCCAGAATATAAAAGTACTTTTATAACTCAACAATAAGACAAACAACCCAGTTTTAAAAAGGGAAAGTTTGAAACAGAGATTTTCCTTAAAAAAATATTTACAAAGGTCCTATAAATACATGAAGGGTACCTGACATCATTAGTCATAAAAGAATACAAATCAAAATTATAATTAAATATCATTATTCATCCCTTACAATGGCTGAAATTAAAGACTGATGGTAGTAAAAGTAGACAAAGATATAGAAAAACTGGAACTTTCATATACTGAGAGTCAAAATATATAGTGATACAACCACTTTGAAAAATCTTTGGCAGTTTCTTATAAAATTGAACACTGAGAGTTGTCTCATAAGCCAGACATTCTACTCTTAGATATTTGCCCAAGAGAAGTGAAAACATATCCACACAGATTTGTGTATGAATGCTCATAGCAGCTTTATTCATAATTGCTCAAAACTAAAATCTAGTAACCCAATGTCCCTCAGCTGGTGAATGGATAAATAGTGGAATACTTGTACAATGGAAACCCACTTAGCAGTAAAAAAAAGAGCTATTGGTAACTCACTGGATAGATGAATTACAAATCATTATGCTGATAAAGGAAGCAAGAAACAAAAGAACACATTTGATATGTGTACATACGTGGGTACATATGTTAATGTATATCTATTATCTAGTTTAATATATATGTATAACACATATGTACATGTATATACATGCACCACACACATCTACTTTGTGTTTATGTATATTTATGTGTATATATAGTGTGTATATATACACAACACATACATATATATAAAACTAGTAAATACAAATGATCTAGAGACATATAAAGATCAAAATTTGCCTGAGGCCTGTGGACAGAGGGAGGGGTGACTTGCAGAGGGGTGAGAGGGTGACAGAAATGTTAGGTATGATTATAGTGGTGTTTTCGAAAGCTTATTCAACTGTTTAAACTCACTGGATTCTACAGTTTTTCTGGAAGCAGTTTCTTCTGTGTAAATTCCTCTTAGTAAAGTTGTTAGAGAAGGTAGAAAGATCAGTGTTTGGCAGGGGCTCAGGGAAAGGACAAGAGGAATGAAGAGGTGAAGCATGGGGGACCTTAGGGTGTTAAAACCTACAGTCCAAAATGCAATATGGATGATCAGTCAACCTCCTAGGGTGATTTTCAAATGAATTTTTTCTTAAAACTTTGAATTCAGTTGAAGAATGAATGCTTTACCACACTATCACTTTCTTTGGAATTTTTCCTGTGAGTTAATTCTCCAAATGGTGTGTACATTCCACATAACATCCTCCTAACAAATGATTTAGTTAATCCTTAACCTTCATTTATTCCTCATAAAAAAGCCCACCTAAAAGGCCCAAGTTAGATTAGAAATGTCACAACTATTTAACTGATTTTGACTAGAAGTGGCAAAACATAAATGAATTTTTACTTTCCATTTTTTCTTTCTCCCTGGTGTCCCTGAAAGGGAGTTTCGGACCTTGGTAATTGAGATGGTGATGGCCACAGATATGTCCTGTCATTTCCAACAAATCAAAGCCATGAAGACTGCTCTGCAGCAGCCAGAAGCGTGAGTGGACCTGTGCCCTCATGTGTTTGTATAAGTGTTTGAACTGGTACTTGTCCATGTCAGAGAACTTTATTGCATGGTCTTATGAAAGGGGCACGTTCCGAGGAGAGGGCATGAGAATTGTACACATCAAAGATCGGTTCTCATCAGGGTTTTGAAATAAATAATAGGGCTGGTAACAATTTGCCCCATTTAGAATTTAAAATATTTCCCTGTGGGAAACTAAGTTGTCAAAGATCCACTCAATGCAGAGGCCAATGCAGAGGCAACAAATAAAACTCAGTGAGGGACTCTTGGATCCTTATTTTCTCTTTGAATGATGCAGTCATTCCAGAAGTAATTGTGAGTCAATTTTTGAGGTGTCCACCTCAATAAACAGGGAGACCTATCAATGAATATCCCAGCTGTGGGATGCAATGGCGCTTTCTCCCCAGTTCAGCTGAAGCAGGGTTTGGATGGGAGAATGGAAGGGATTAAAAAACAGATAATTTCTTAACTCTTATTGAGGTTCTGAAAGTGTGGTCATTGTATGTTTGGGTCCTTTGGGTTTGCAGAATTGAGAAGCCCAAAGCACTGTCCCTGATGTTGCACACAGCAGACATTAGCCATCCGGCAAAAGCGTGGGAGCTCCATCACCGCTGGACTATGTCACTGCTAGAGGAGTTCTTCAGACAGGTACTTGGCTGTGCTACCTTTTGGGGTTTTCATCCCTGGATATTTTCTGGATTTTATATTTCCATAGTGCTATTATAAAGATTAATGAGATTAAAATAAGTTTATTTGGGGAAGGAGGGTTCTCCACCTTTTTTTTTTTTTTTT